TTAGTTGACATACATTGATACTATAAGCTGACTAACGTTAGTCTAATGTTATGTTTGACTCGTAAACGACCACAACATGAGTTAGCTCTCTGTGCAGTTTGTTCGTTCCGGGTTAGTAGCGGCTAGATATCGGTGTTCTGCAGACATATACTAGCTACCATTCCATCCAACATTAAATGCTGACAAACGTTAACTAACACACAGCTGGCGCCGCTAGCTAGGTAGCTAACATTAACTATTAACCAACCAAGCACGAACAAACCGCACGGAGAGCTATAAGATAGTTAGCACTACCGAAGTGCACAGAACTCAAGCTGCACAACACACTAGGGCTGTTCCTATTTATGAATATGCTTTTATTTTGAAGGAGAGGTGGCGCTGTTGAGAGGAAGTTGTTGTTGCTATGGAAACAACGTGACGGAGATTAACGGAGAAAAGTAATATCTTCATATAAAGACGGAGAAAGTAAACGATAAAGTTTATGGTTAAGTGTTAGCACCCCCCGAACAAGCTCTTACGTTGATATTGGAGATTTCAATAAATTCAATTTGAAAGACCTAGGGCGAGATGTTTTTGTTTGGGGGCTTTTTGCAGGGCTTCGTGCGCAATCCTGTGAGGAGGAGGTGGTAGCCGTTTCAGTCTCCATAGTGTTTAAAGTGCGATTGCGAACTGCTTGTTGTTGTTTTGGGTGACCCACGTGTTTGTGGCGATGCGTCGACGAGGAAATATGTCGTCGACGATATTTTGAAGTCGAATTATTTATTGGTTTGTTGACTCTGATTTGGGTTCAGAGTCAGGATGACACTGAGGTTGAGACTGCACTCCAATTTATAAAATATATTCTTAATGATACATTCTTTTTAATAGCGGGTGCATCAGGTTGGGATTTCCACACTTTTGAGACCATATTTGACTTTGTGACTCGGAGGATGCTGGATCTGGCTCCCAGTGTTTACCTGCGAAGCTGGGGAAATATTTCTGCAGGTCAGAGGTCATAATTTTGTCAGCCAGGATGTCAGTCTTGTTGAGGAAGAGGATGATGGAGGTGTTGAAGAACCAAGGAGAGTGGATGGTGGTGTAGAAGAGAGCCAGACTCTCGTGCATTCGGTTCTGAACACAGAAACAGAGTCACATTTTATACTGGAGGAAGTGTCGCACTTTGAGAAAATGGAAAGGCGTTTCGATAATGGCAGAGAATACGCCCTGTGGCAAACAACTGTTAGGAAAAACGTTTCGTTCAGCAGGATATTTTTCATAAATGAACAGAACTTTTATGATTTATTCAGTAAAAGCTATCGCAGTAGAAAGCTAACGCCAGGCTTAAAGAAAAAAAACGCTTTCGCTTTACCTTATGGTCGGCATAATTATGTTTTATAGTCTCATTAGCCACTAGAAACGGCCTTTTTGAGGACACAAACTTGGTATTTTTAATTAAACATTAAAATCTCTTCAGCTTGTGTTAACCACAGATCTTATGTCACGTTAAAATGAACCCCATTGACTTCGAGGCGAGGGAAGTTATAAGATGCTAATTTCTTGATTTTGGGATTTAATTTGTTGTTATAGATACATGAACTACACCAGTGAGTTTCTGAGAGATGATTTTGACTCCTCATGGATGGAAAGACAGATTGTGATTGTGACGAAGCCGGGAGGAAAGCACTCCTTTAAAGAGAGGAGGGGGTGTGGGGGGGTTTATGGAGGTCTGGAGCACACGGGCCTCTGTGGAGGTTAATGAATGTGTTGGCAGACGAAAAAGTGGCTGGGAGAGATAAACAGCTTAGAGACAGGATGGGAGGGAGGGAGGGGGGGACAGAAGGCGAGAGAGAGGGGGAGGTTTTGTTGTGCAAGAGTGAAACCTGCTGGAGGAAGTATGAACTGACTGAGAAAACATTCGGAAGAAAAGAACAATACGTTTTAATGGGAAATTAATACATTTGTACTCAATTTAATTAAGCTAACAGCTACTGGCTGTATATAAGGCATTTACATTTATTGTTATCATTTAAAAACGTAAAGGCTTTTTTAATGCTAATGTAACAGCAACAATAATCTATATATGTGGATGCAACTAAGGATTATTTATTCATAATTAATTTATTGTTATTTTGTTAGGAATCCATTATAGCTTAGTCTATAAAACATCATAAGATAGGGAACATGTCCACAATTATGTCTTTGAATAACTTGTTTTGTCTGACAAATTTTCCGAAAATATTTAGTTTACAATGATATTAAACATAAAAAAGCAACAATATCAAAAACACAAGATTTAAATCGGTATTTGTACTTTGTAAGTTACTAAAACCTTCAAATGATTTTAAAAGCTGTTGCTTATAAATATAACTATTTATTTATTTATTTGAATTCATTACATTAACTCGATAATCAATTCATTGTTGCAGATCTACAATAAGCTACAGTATTTTGTGTATATTGGACTGTTTAGGCTGTTTCTGTTATTTTGTCCACGCTCTGCAGTGAGGTTAGACGTGTCTCTTACGATGGTCTCTCTCTCCTCCAGGACCTGGTCGTACTCGCTGAGCGACGCCAGGAAGATGAGCGAGGTGACGTTTTCAAAACAGTGGATCCACTTCCTGCGCTCCGACTTCTGACCGCCAACATCCACGATCCTGCCAGAGAGGAGCAAGAGTTAGAAAGGCAAGAGAAAAACAAACAAGTAAACAAGGAAGCCGTGCTAACGCTGTTCAAATGAACACACTTAAGATGTAAACAAAGCAGGCACTAGTATTGAGTCCTAAGGTCGACATATTCTCTGTTTTGGGATCTGTACTTCAGATAAGGAGGTGAAGAAATACAAATATCACTATATTTGTATTCTTCAAATAGACTTGGTTAAATGTATTTTGACCGTAAAAATCCTCACATATGAAAGATAAACTAAAAGCGGTACGGAGGTTTGATGTTGATGCGTATACATTTGTTATGTTTGCCTAAAAAAGCCTAGGAAAGGATACAAGATGGACCATTTCATTTGATTTTGTATTGATTTTCCAATTATCACATAGTGTATGTTTTTCTAAATAATTAATTATTTGGTTGTAGACAACGAAGGCCTGAAAATTCAATTGTGACAAATATTCAAATTGTTTGATTTTTCACTTGTTTACTGTTGTTGTTGACTTTTTCTTTGTTGTGTTTGCAATGGAAAGCTGGATCTGTCTTTATGAACTCCTGCTGTCTTGCTGCAGGCTGGGCGTAGCTGTGTGAACGACACAGAAGCAGTACCGTCATTCATTAATCTGTCAGTTGTGCCGGAGCCAAAACAAACCTTGCCTTCAGTCTAGTTTGTTTTAATTGTGTGTTGTACCTCATAATTTAAGAGCAGGTGTCATTTAATTTGGGAACACACAAAGAAATGTGATGTCTGTCTGCTCAGCTGGAGTCAGGTCTTCCTCTGGTTTCAGAAAGAAACAACGCAGGTTAAAAATAAACCTTCCCCTGAAGGTCTATCATCTCCGTCATAAATCTGGTCCTGTTGCAGACAAAGCCTCTGCATCAGTCAATAGGGAGTTTTCCCTCAATGCAGTGAATAGTGTGGGTATAAGTTTCTCTTGTGTTGTGTCTCCATTCGGTTTGTCTCAATTGTGTGTGAATTTCGACTGGGTAGCGTAGTTTATTAACGCTAGCTAGCTAGAAACATTATCGATTTCTGCACCGAATCATCCCAGACTGCTCAATTAACCTTTTAAAATGATGGCCTCTTTTGTGTAGTGTTATCATTAGTCAATATTATATAAAACACATGGATAACTTGTATTTGTTTAGTGAATCAATCCCAATCACAGCTGGTGCCAACACTTCAGAAGCCAAGGTGAAGTTCGTTGAGGGTGAGAAGTATCCAGAGTTTCACAATTACAACTTGTATCTTTTTGTCTGTCATAATTCACCCATCCCGAACCAAGACTGCAGGAAGTGCGCGGTGAAACACATTTGAGTGTTGGCCAACCTGTGGTATCATCTTTCCGTGTCAGTGAAGTGATGCCACTGGGCTCAAAATGACTTTTTCCATTGACTTGCATTGAGAAAGAGACCTCAGTAAATCTGTGTCCATCAACAAAGTAAACCAACTTCCCTGTGCTGACACTTGAATAGCCCTTATTTAAAGGTCATGACATTGTAAATCAGAAATCCTTTATTTGTCCCACAACGGGGACATTTACAAAAAATAGCCAAACCAGAGTTATTTCCCTCTTCGTTCATTTGACGGAGCCGAGACTGGACTCAGCGGATTGGAGGCGTGGCTTAAGGCAAAAGCAAGTATGTAATCCTTTATTCAATGAGTGCAGGAGATTTTGGTAATGATTTACTCAGTATTGAATCAATTTATGTGTCATTTGGCAGTGAGCAACTTTAATCAGATTAATCGGCCCAGCTTCCAACACTGTATCCAGTACCCACATGAACACACTTAGGCACTCAACACAGCAAGAGTACAGAAGTAAGGGAATTAAGATTAGTAAGGGCGGTGGTGGCGAAGTCGATAGGGACTTGGCTTGGCAACTGGAAGGTCACGTGTTCAAGTCCCGGCAAGACCAAGTGCTACCGAGTTGTCCCTGAGCAAGGCACCGTTCCCTACACTGTTCCCTGGGCGCCGTTCAAAATGGCAGCACACTGCTCCTAACACTAGGATGGGTCAAATGCAGAGAAACAATTTCCCCACGGGGATTAATAAAGTATATATATATAAAAAAATAAAAAATCTAAAAATTAATCTGAAGACTGTCACCTTAGCGTGATGGTCTTGATGGTGAAGGAGTAGTCGTGGATGCCCGTGGTGGGGAATCGAACCCGCAGCACGTCCTGCTCCGTGGGGATGTAGTCCGGGGCGGAGATGCGGTCCAGGTTATTCATGTAGCTGAAAGAGAGAGAGAGAGGAAGGAAGTTCCATATTGTCTCTGTTTACTCCACAGGTAAAGCAAACTGAAGGGACACAAGATATATGATGATGATAAAAAAAAACAGTGATTAAAAATACAAGAAGGGAGTGGAGCGAGTCCATATCGCCGTGTGCACAGATGACGGCTTTATGGCTCGTGTTGATACAAGCTGTCATTAGCTACCGCCTGTCTCTTATCACACAGCGCTATGATTGAGCTACTGGGTAAACAGAGGAAATAGGAAAGAGAAAACTGAGCTGGCTTTGTTCTGGGACACGTTACATACTTTGAGCGTGAGGCTCACACAGGCTGTGTTACATCTTTTCGTGATGATTTAAAAAAAACAATGTCTGCGGTATTTTGACATTCAGGTTCTCCTAAACACTTTAAAAGATGATTCATGTTTCATCTGACTCACAGGAGTTTGATGTGCTTCCGTATTCACTCTTTGATCAACTTGTGGTTTCAACATGGCTGGGAATAAAGAGCATTGTGGGGGAACTAGCCCCCTCTAGTGGTCTCAGTACAAAAACACATAGTATGCAACTCATTCTGAGGGTGTGTGGCAGAAAAGGAGGGACATATCAATATCCAAGGATCCTTTCTTTTATGACAATGTCATCAAAAGGTTATTTTCTTTAAATGAAAAGAATAAATTAAGAAAAAAATATATACTTTATACTGTATAGAAACTGAATACTATTTAGTTTGAGAGGTGAGTTTTTGCTTTACTCCCCTGACATTTTGATGCTGCATCTGGCAAACACCTTCTCTTATAGGTTCCCGTAGTGTGATATCATCTTGGACAGCTTGCAGTGACAGTGTTTGCTCACATGACGCTCTCATACAGATACTCACTACTCAGTGGAGTCCAGGAGCTGGTACTCGCAGCGTCGGCTGTAACACACCCGCACCCCCGAGTCTGCCCAGAGGCGGCGGATGGCGTCCACGTAGCCGCGCTCCAGGTGGCTGATCTGCACCGTGTTTATGTCATGCAGCCACTTCCCGTAAATCTGAAAAAAGTGGGTTTGACATTCAGCATAAACACTCTGTATAGACTACATCGTGCTGAGTGTGTGTTTCTGTGTTTGGTGTGGGCACAATCTCTCTGCCCTGATGCCCGCACCACTCTGTTTGTTTATGTGAGACTTTACCTCGTTCCCTGGGTTGAAGTAGGGGATTTTGAGCGCGGTCATGGCCCCCGTCATGGCCTTCATGGCTGTGAGGATGTTCTGGAAGATGCATTTGGCAAAACTCCTCCTCTCCTCCTCTGAGAAGCCTCGTCCGTGGATGATCCTCATCTGCCGGATGAAAGTGGTTTTTCCACTTTCTCCAGTACCTGAGGAATTGATAATGTTTCGTGTTTATTTAATTTATAGTGCGTTAAAAATCACACGTTTTGCACCATTACAGACATGTGCAGCACAATTTCAACCACACAAAACAGTTATATGAAGTACACATCTGTCAACGGGGCTTAGCATCATCGCCTTGCTGTTATATTATCTCTTTGTTTATTCATGCTCTACCTGAGTCTTTATGGGTTCCCTCCCACAGTCTAAACACATGCAGGTCGGCTGAAATGAAACCTTGTAGGGGTGAAAATGTTTGGAATTTGTTTAGGAGAGTGGTTAAATGTCAAGAGGGATTTAAAACAGGTGACTGAAAGACATACAGTCAGTTTTAACGAGAAGGATTCCTCACACCAGGATCTGAAAGGGCCCGACTCTCTGGTATATAACAATAATAATAATAATATAAATATTTCTTTTTTTATTTAGCCTTTATTTATACAGGTGTAGATCTCATTGAGACACAAGGTCTCATTTTCAAGAGAGACCTGAAGGATTATTATATTTTCTAATGTATAATTAGTATTCCAAACAGGATGTTAAATACTAATAACATGTATTAATAATAATAATAATAATAAAACAACTTTAAAATAACCTTTCATTTAAGGACGTTTTACAATAAAAACAATAATAACACTATAACACCCATGTATGGTACTGGATATAAAACTGTATAATTCAAGTTTAAAAGGCAAAGTTAAAGGTGGGGTAGGTCATTTTGGAGAAACCAGCTCGAGTGCGCTAGAATTTGAAAATACATAGCCGGAAAAAAATCTGCCACTTCCTTACAGAGCCCCTCCTCCAACACACACGAACGCGCACATGACCAATGAGGGCACGAGATAAGTTTGTGCACAGATGGAAGGCTGACAGGCAGGTAGGCCATCCAGTTACTTTAGCCGGGCCGGCTAAAATGATTGGTCGTGCTTTTTACAGTACTACGGCTTCCACAGATGACGTTTTTGTATGGATTTTTTGTCAAAGCACTTAAGATATTCATTGCTATCGGGATGTTAAGAGCATACAACAAAAAATGTATTTCGAGCCGGTTTCTCAAACTTACCCACCCCACCTTTAATGGTTTATAAAGTGTTCAAAACCTAATTAATAAATTACAAACTATTCGTAAACCCTTTATAAGGGTAGTCTTATTGTAAAGTGGTACCCTTCACCAGTTACTGCAGAGGGGACACGTCTCTGTCCTTGATTTATATTTTAAAAAAGAACAGAATAAAATCATAGAGGCATGAAAAGACAGGCAGGTCATCTGTAATAATCTAAAGTGTCTCAGAGGGAAAACGTCCTTCAGGAGACAATGAAAAATAGATTGTATGTCTCTTGGCAGTGTATACAAAGCTCCTGCTGCAGAGTGCCATCCAATCCAGAGGACCTGTGTGTGTTTCTCTCTACAGCAGATATTCAGGTTGTTTAAGAATGAAACAATTTAAAAACAAATTGAAAATAAATGTGGGTGACCTTTGATAAAAATGTAAAAACTATGTAAAATCTTAAAATTGAGATAGAGGTTGAAATAGTCTTTACTTAAAGGCGCCTTGAGTTTATGACCACTAAATCTATACTTTTAATCTTAGATTATGGTTTTATTCCACTGATGCACAGGAGAATGTAATGCCCCAAAGCAGCAAGGTGTCAGAAGTGAAGAAGAAGATTGCTAAGTAAAGATGGATGTAAACATAGTAGGCTTGCAATACAATTCAAACATTTAAGAAAAAGCTTTTAGAAAAAGAAAATGCATTCAACATGTTTGTTAGACCTCAAGGATACACACAACGCGTGTTGGTGAGTAACACACACAGACTGTGTAGACAAATGTTTACATGTGGGCCAGGATCATTTGGGGCAAGTGTTGAAAAGCCCAACAGAGAAGAAAGTGGTTCGGGACATCTGGTTGCTGTTGTAATGTATCATTATATATAGAATAGTTTAAAAAGCGTGTTTTAATTAACTGCTTCCTGTTGCAATTTCATGTACAACCACAAGCGTGGAAAAATAACACTGTGCATGCCAGATTTAAGAAAATAGTCAATGTTATGCAGAAAAAGGGCCCCTTTAGTATTATTTTATTTTTATTTTATACTAATGGAGGAAGATGTATATTTGATACATTGTTGAGGATTTCTATAAAAATGCATACAGTTTTAACAGCTTGTGTATGTTTTGTATTTAAAATCTCAATCTGTATGGCAAGGTGTACAGAATGTAAAAGTAAAGTAGCAGTATACCTCAAAAAACAGCATACATGTACATACTTGTAGTTGTACATGTATATGTTAGCCACTGCAGATGTTTGGGTCCATGAACAAACAGAAAGTTAGCAAGTGTTCACATTGGACAAGCTGGAACTATATAATATCTGGCATTTTTACTTTAAAGAAATAAATAATAATTTGATGAATCAATCATGTAAATATACTGTTTGGTACATTTTCTGTTCATACTTTACGAACAAACAGTTGGATAGTTGCAGCAGTTAAATTCCAACATGCCATGTCTGGTGCTGTAAGGTCTTGAAATCTAAACACACTGAGAGCTCTCTCCATGTAAGGATGTGAAGCAGAGGAATGTTTGGACAGATTCAGCTCGTGACTAGCATTCATTCTGTCTAATCCGGCAGATAAATAGATTATAAAGCATGTTGTATTTATTTAAAACGTATTGTCCAGAATGCTCTCTCTGAAGCTTTCAGTGGATTTGTCAAACTCAGACTTCATCTAAACATCAGCTCTCCAATGAAATTCCCTTCCGCGTGCGTGTGTGCGCGCGCGCCCCAAGCGAGTTCGTGCGTGTGTCGAGATTAAACGGGCGGCTCCTCGACCACGAGCTGACCCAGGCTGATATGGAGACTTTCTGATTGAGATGATTATCTTCTGCACTGCAGTCAAGCCAGCCTCCACTTCGGAAAACACAGTCAAACCAGCATCCGCGTTGTTTTGCGGTGCGCGAATATCCTATGCATTACGGTAGCGGCCTGGAAAAACTGCCTTCAAAATAAAAGTGCTTCCTCGGTCAATAACAATAATACTAAACATATTAAAATATGTACTATATAGGCCTAATGTGATCAATAATAATGTAAGACAAACTACGTATAACTACACATTATAACTGAGTGAATGTAAAACTTAAAGAGTTTCAAAATAAAAGACCTTTGAAGTCTCATATATGAGCTATAATCCCTCTGTTTTTAGATAAGAATAAAACAAAAACCCTCCAGTATCAAATACTTATGTCACTTCAGGGTGATAGCAGGACACCCCATCTAGTCACTCTGAAAGAATCAGGACAATCTGATGTAGAGTTTCAAAATAAAATACCTTTGAAGTCTCATATATGAGCTATCATCCCTCTGTTTTTAGATGAGAATAAAACAAAAACTGTCCAGTATCAAATACTAATATCACTTCAGGGTGGTAGCAGGACACCCCAGTTATTCACTCAGAGAAAATCAGGACAATCTGATGTTGTTTCAAAATAAAAGATCAGTCTCGCTATCATTCCTCTTTTTTTAGATGAGAATCAAACAAAAACGGTCCAGTATCAAATACTAATATCACTTCAGGGTGATAGCAGGACACCCCATCTAGTCACTAAGAGAAAATCAGGACAATCTGATGTAGAGTTTCAAAATACAATGGTAAATGTAAGTGTGACGGCCGTCGCCTCCCCGGTCCTGTTAAGTCCGTTTTGCTGTTACATGTGTAAATGAGCTGTGTGGTTGCCCTAATTGGCTACCATTTCCTGCGCAATGAAAAGTTTTCCGCTCTATCGCGGGAATATCTCCGCAACGGAGCGAGCTTAAGTTTCACTCTCAAATGCACGATTTTGCCCAATAAAGTAATTATTATCTTATAAATAAGTGAAATAATGAAATTGAAAGATGACCAATTATTTAATTAATTATTATTTATTATTATTTATTATTTCAAAATCGGTCTTAATAACCTCTGAAATGTCCGACCGAATTGACAAATCAGAATCGAGTATTCAACTAAACTGTGTAATAACCCATAATAACGTGTTGAATTTGGGAATGATTGGAAAGGTTTGGAGTACATGACTTTGAAAAATATATGTCTGTTATTAAAGTTCAGAAGTGTAGTGTGGGGCCTTGTGACTGTCTGTGCCCACTCCAATTTAAAAGCCTTTCTGTATTTCAGAAAAGGAAAATACAAAAACACACAAATATAAAAAAATAAAATACAAGACGAATACGCCGACACCCACTGCGATCAGCAAAAGACAGATCATGTTTTCTTGATGTAGAGAAGGGGTCGGCAACCTTTTTGTTATGAAGTGCCATTTAAAAAAAAAAAATTGATCAGCGTGCCAACGATCGAGAATNTTATTTCATCGATTAGTCGACTAACGATTATTTTTCTGTTGTTCGATTTATAAAAAACGAATGAAGTAATGTTTTTTGGTATTTATTTGAGATACATTATGTTTTTTATAAATCGAACAACAGAAAAATAATCGTTAGTCGACTAATCGATGAAATAATCGCCCGATTAATCGTTTTCAAAATAATTGTTAGACCTCATGAAAGACGACACACGAAGTGAGGATACCCGGCCCGGAGGAAGCCCGGGGTCCCCTTCTGGAGCCAGGCCCA